GCCAGTGCCTGCCGTGCCCGTTTCCAGCATTCCACTCTTCAAGATCTCTGAAACTGCAGGGACCCGGAAAGGGAGCATGAGCAACGGGCATGGCAGCCCAGGGGAAAAGGCGGGCAGTGCCCGCAGTTTTAGCCCTAAGAGCCCCCTTGAACTTGGAGAGAAGCTGTCGCCACTGTCTGGGGGACCTGGGGCAGGGGACCCCCGGATCTGGCCAGGCCGGAGCACTCCAGAGTCTGATGTTGGGGCAGGAGGAGAAGAGGAGGCTGGCTCACCCCCGTTCTCCCCACCTGCAGGGGGAGGAGTCCCTGAGGGGACTGGGGCTGGGGGGCTGGCAGCAGCTGGGGCTGGTGGTGGTCCGGATCGACTGGAGCCAGAGATGGTACGCATGGTGGTGGAGAGCGTGGAGAGGATCTTCCGAAGCTTCCCAAGGGGGGATGCTGGGGAGGTAACTTCCCTGCTGAAGCTGAACAAGAAGCTGGCACGGAGCGTCGGCCACATCTTTGAGATGGACGATAATGACAGCCAGAAGGAAGAGGAGATACGCAAATACAGCATCATCTATGGCCGCTTTGACTCCAAGCGGCGGGAGGGCAAGCAGCTGAGCTTGCATGAGGTGAGGACCCCGGGCCCTGATCCCCTCCCCTACCAACCTCAGTTGTTGCAGTGCTTCCCTCAACTGAGGGGGAAGCAGAGACACAGGCAAGAACCTGGCTGTCCAGCCCCACGCCGCTCAGGACGCCACAGGAGTGGAGGAGGCCCCGGGCATTCCTAGGAAGCTGTGGGTGCTGACCTGTTTTCCTTCCTCAGAAAGCTCCTGCATGGTGTCAAACCCAAGCAAACATCTGATGGATGAGCCTCCCTTGTCTGGTGGTGAAGGGGAGTGAGGAGGTCTGGGCAAGGTAGTGGGCCAGTTAGGATTCTGACTGCTCTGGCGGTCCTCTCCACAGCTGACCATCAACGAGGCTGCTGCCCAGTTTTGCATGAGGGACAACACTCTTCTACTGCGGAGGGTGGAACTCTTCTCCCTGTCCCGCCAAGTGGCCCGAGAGAGCACCTACCTGTCCTCCTTGAAGGGCTCCAGGTGAGACCCCCTTCTCCAGGTTCTCCCTAGATCAGAATCCCGCCAAGGAGATGGGTCACGTCCTGACCTCCAGTTCAGGTGCCTGTAGGCCTGCTTCCCACCCGCCTGCGTGTCCCTGCCTTTGGCCAAGTCCACTTGCCTAGGTCTGGCCCCACCTCCCATCCCTCTCAGGTCCCCTCTGCCCCCCACAACAATAGCGCTTGAGCTGGGGACTGCTGCTTACCCTTCATCTTTCCAGATTCTGCGAATAATGCATGTTCCCCATCAGATTCTGTGTCCTGTCCACCATGTGTCCCTCCCCAGCCTCACCCTCCTTGTTTCTCTCCATCTTTGCAGGCTCCACCCTGAAGAACTGGGAGGCCCCCCACTGAAGAAACTGAAACAAGAGGTAGGTTTGCTAGGGTACATATAGGAGGTTAGGGCAGTCTTCCCCAGCCCCCTCCCTTGCCAGTCCTTATTTCCCCATTTGGGGCATCCACAGGTTGGAGAACAAAGTCACTCTGAAATCCAGCAGCCTCCCCCAGGCCCTGAGTCCTATGCACACCCATACCGTCCCAGCCTGGAGGAAGACAGCGCCAGCCTGTCCGGGGAGAGCCTGGATGGACACTTGCAGGGTGAGTGTGCGTCAGAGCGCTTCTCACTGAGGGGGCGGGTGGGGGGGGAAGGTGTGGGAGGAGGGCGCCAGGAGGCCACTGCCTGGCACAGGGTTGGGAGGCCTGGCTGGGCGGGAGCGAATGAGCCTGGGCCCGTGGGGCTGGCTGTGTGGTTGAGGGTGAGGGTTCCGTTGACTGCGGCCCCCTACCTGACCCGTAACCCCTGCCCACAGCTGTGGGGTCGTGCCCAAGGCTGACGCCGCCCCCTGCTGACCTGCCTCTGGCGTTGCCAGCCCATGGGCTGTGGAGCCGCCACATCCTGCAGCAGACGCTGATGGATGAGGGGCTGCGGCTAGCCCGCCTCGTCTCCCACGACCGCGTGGGCCGCCTCAGCCCCTGTGTGCCCGCAAAGCCACCTCTCGCAGGTGAGGCAGCCAGTAGTGCCATCCCCAAGCACCCCTGCCACCCAGGCCCCGCACAGCAGCCCTGGTGTCCTCGGGGCAGTAGCGTGGTGGGGCTCCAGCTAACCAGGCCTTGGGTTGAGGGGGGAACCCTGCAGGGCTGTTCCCAGTGGGGAGGGTCTAACCCCAAGTGGACGTCTGTGAATGGCGAGCTTGGGGAGCAGGGGGACAGAGAATGGGGAACGAAGGGGAACAGGAAGAGGAGAGCCACCAAGAAGGGAAGTTTGGATGGAACTTCTACCAGCGCAGGAGGGTGGAGCAGGCCAGGAGTTGGGGTAGGGTTGCCAGCTTGGAATTGGAGGAGCCCAGAGGGGGATGCTTTGTGTGTGGATGGGGGAAGCGGGAGTAGGCAAGGAGGCCGGCAGAGGGCCGGGCATCGGCTGGGCTCAGAGTGACGCAGCAGACAAAGCCACCAACCCTAGCTTGGTATTTTTAAACTGTGTGTGGGTGGGAACTGGGGGCGGGGACTGACAGGGGGGCTCTTCTTGGGGGAGGAGCTGGGAGGCTGGCTTCCTGTGTCCCCGCTGTTTTGGCTTCTAAGAACCCTGGGGGGCATGGTAGGGTTGGGGGGGTGCCCTGGGAGGAGGCCAGGGATAAGCGGGGGCAGCAGAGCCTGGGAAGGGGGGAGGGGGAGAGGTCAGAGCCAAGCCGCCCCCACAGCTCCTGACAGAACCAGAAATTCCAGCAGAACGGAGGCGGGAGAGACAGAGAGAGACACATCCAGAGACAGAGAGCTACACACAGCCAGCAAGGGGAGGGGGGCGCACACACTTAGGTATGGAACCGCCCCCTAGACCAGAGGTGGGCAGGAGTCAGGAAATCAAGTTCATCTTCGCAGCCTTCTCTACCCCTGCCTCTGTTCTCAGCCCCCCTCTGTCTGCAGCGTCCATCCCGCAGCCTCCTAACCTACCCCTTCTCCCTGCAGAGTTCGAGGAGGGGCTGCTGGACCGATGCCCTGCCCCAGGACCCCATCCTGCTCTGGTGGAAGGTCGAAGGAGCAGCGTGAAAGTGGAGGCTGAGGCCAGCCGGCAGTGAGGGGGGGACTGGCGTCCTCAGACCCAGGGTGCCAGGCTTCTGGCTCACACAGACCCCTCCACTCTCCATCCCTGGCATCTAGTCACAACCCTGGATCCTTCCGCTGCCCTTCTCCTGCCTCCCCACCTGCCCCATGGGCATAGAACTATGGGGCTTCAAGCAATAACAAGCAGGGGCCTGGCGAGAGGACACAAGGAGGGTGCACGGTGCCCCCTCACCCTTGCCCAGAGCAAGGAGGCAAGAACTCTGCCTCCAGGGCACTTGGGATTCTCCCCTCCCTTACACAGCACACTCCCATCCTCTCTAGTTAGAGTCAGTGACGAGCAGTTGGACTCAGTTTGGACATGGGGGAAAGGGGGACTTCCCTGGGAGGGTCCAGCAGCTAAAAATGGAAACGGTTTCCGGCCAGATCTGAGGGCCTGGGAACACTGGACCTGCTCCTCCCCTCTGCTCCTCCATTTTTGTGCTTGTAGTTTGTTTCTTTAATTTAACAAGTGCTGCAGTTCGCCCACCCATCCCCATCTTCCCCCCAAGTCCTCAGCGGTTCTCTCTCTCTTGCCCTCTCTAGGGGGGTGTGGGGTCCCCTTCACCGGCCCCCTCGGGAGGCCTGGGTGGACTCAGGGTCTCCCTCAGCTGGGATCTGGGCCGCAGCACCTGTCTGAGCAGTTAGAGCGTCTTTCTTTTCAGATCGTGTACAGTAGATTATTTATTTTGTTATTTTGGAATAAAATTTATTTTATGGCTTAGGATCTATGACCTCCAAGATGGAGAAAGGGTGGCATGGGGTTGGGGAGTGGAGGGAAGCTGGCGGTGGTTGGGGAAATAGAAAAGAAGCGGCAGGTAGGGCCCCCAATACACCACGAGGACCACACACCGACCCCAGGCTAAGCCTCTGCCTCTGGGCAGGATTGGAGGTGTTGAGCCACCGAAGCTACAGCCACATAGACCCAACCTGGACCCAGTCATACTCAAAGCTTAGTACATTTGGGTTAGCATACATCAGAGAGGCCAGTATACTCGCTGGTGTCTTTTGAGCAGTGTCTCACACTTCCAAACGTGTTGTCACACAGGCAAAATCAAAGAGGTACGTGTTCTATGTGGTCATAAAACTAACATGTGACGTCTATATATTAACATCTCTTAGGTCCACACACTTTCACCCAGCTACGTGCAAACTCGGCCCTTGTACTTCTGCACAATCTCATATCCAGAAGCCTCCATCTGACTGACAGGAATTTGGAGCTGACTGGGATTTGTTTTTTAATCTGGGCAAAACCCACATCAGCAACCAAACGTACAGACCAGACCCCCCTCTCTCCCAGGGTCTCCTCAACTGTTTCCCATCCCCCCAGAGCTGGGACCCAAGCCCATACTTCCATCCCTAGCCTCTGAAGCAGATGTGTGCACGTGTCTGTGTGTTTCCACATGTGTGTCTGGAGCCGGGGGCAAGCAGAGAAGCCCTCCATGCCCTCAGCTGTGCTTTAGCCCAGCCCCCTTTCTGCTCTGCTCAGCCACATCTTCCAAGGGCAGGGGGGGGAGGGAGGGAGGGAGGGGGAGAGAGAGAGTGTGTGCGTTTGGGGCGTGTCTCACTTGGAACCTGAATTTCCCTTTGGAAAGTGGAGGGCAGGGGTGTGTGGTGGGAAGGAAGGAGTAGATATGTTCCACCCACTGTACATTCTCCTGGCAAAGTCTTTTCCTCCTGACCAGGGAGTAGGTGGGGATAGGAGGACACCCTCCCCAGCTGCTGCTTGGCAGGAGCACAGGCAGGTGTTCAGAGCAGGTCCATGGGGGCAGGAGAGCTGTCTCTCTGGACTCCCCCTCCAGCTGGGATCACCAAGTGGGGTTAGCCCTTAGGTCCAGGTGGGACATTGAGATCCCAGACTGCCCATAGCAGGAGGGCTGCAGGAGGGGTTGGGCTCCCAAGGACCCTCCCTCTGACTCTCCTTGCCCCTCCAAGAGAAGCTTGGTGAGGTCCTGTTCAGTGGGAGGCAGCAAGGGCGGGAGCATGTCTTCACGGACCCTGCAGGGAGGAAGGAGGCAAGCAGTGAGATGGGTATGGCACCCACTCCTCAGCCTCCACCCCCAGGCTGACACTCACCAGGTGCCTTGAGGGAACCCTCCCACCGGCTGCCTCAGGCAGCTGTCTTCCGCCATGGTCACATCTGAGCAGAGCAAGGGCTCGGGGCTGGACACGGCATGCTCCTGAGGCTGGCACGGCAGCAGGCCCCTGCCGGGCCCAGAGAAGTAAGTGAGGTGGTGGCGGGGGTCGGGGGGTTGAGGCTGGGAATGAATGAGGAGCATGAGCTCAGGATGGGGGTGGGTGTCACTCACTGCGGGTGAGGTTGGTCAAAGGGCAGGCTCATCTGACTCAGGTTGGGTGGCATCTGCAGGTGAGGTCTGGAATCAGGAAGGAGGGCACAGTCAGAAAGGAAAGCTGGACAAGGGCAGGGTGTTGCAAAGTCAAGACCACTGAGTGAGGAAACAGTATTTCCAGCTCCTCATCCTGACAGCAAGCACTCGGCAAGCCATTTCCACCTGTGAGCTTGGACTTCTCATCTGAATAAATGCGTATGCATTGGCGACTGTGGGCAGGAGAGAGAGGAGGGCTAGATTCACTAATTTCTGATGTTTCTTTGGACTTTGAACTTTGTTGGCTCTAAGTACCCCTGTCCCCACCCCTACCTCAACTCCTGGGAGGGGAGATGTCGTGCCTTGACTGAGAGTTAGTAAGCACCTGAGTGCTACCTGGAGAACAACTGTCTATGCCACTTCAGGGCCAAAAAGATAAATAAATAAAAATCAAGACAGCAGATAAATGACAGTAGATTTCAGGGGCGGGAGAGATAATACTGATACTTACATAGCTCTTCCTATGAGCCAGGTACTGTGTTTAGCTTTACACATACTATTAATTCAATTAACCTTCACAATAACCCTGTGAGGTAGGTATTGTTATTATCATTATTCTCTATTTTACAGATGACACATCAGAGTTAAGTAACTTGCCCAAAGTCAGCAAGTGGTGGAGCTGGAATTCGAACCTGGATCTTAACCACCAACACCTCAGTGGAATGGACAGAAGAGACCCAGGTGTTGGCTTTTTGCCACCCCGTTCTCACAGAAGAGCCTTCCCTAGCAAATGCAAGTGCCCAGGCCCTTTGCAGGTGGGTATCCCACCCCGTTCCCCAGAGGTGGCCCCACTTACTCCTGGAAGGCTGGCAGCACATTGACCGATTCTTTCCGGGGAAGTGTTGGATATGAGGGGATGGAGTGAGAGCGTGGTGGGAACACCTGGGACCTGGGGAAAGAAAGCAGACCCCTGATGCCAGCCCTTCTCCTGGACACCCCAAATCCCTGCCTCAAGATGGGGAATCCCTTTCAAGGAAAGGAAATTCCCTACTTCAGCCCCCAGTGCCAGCTCTCCCAGTTGCCCATGCTGAAACAGCCTGCTGGCACAGACCACTCCCAGTTCCGTCTCTCAAGCTTCTTACGCCATATCTGGGCCGAGCTGCATGTTCATGGAGCAGTCAGGGACCATTCCAAGATCATAAGAGGGCATCATGGTAGGCGTTTGGGGCTCAGGGGTGGTAAGTGGCTGGTCCCTGGAGGAGGGGAGGAGGCATGTGTGACTGACCAGGGGCTGATGCCACCACCCCTTCCCCCAGGGAAGTACTGGGCCCCACCCTCCATCCATACCAGCACACTCACCTTTCCACAGTCATCTTGATTGTAGCTGGGACATAACCCCTGTCATCCTTACCCATCTGCTCAGCTGTTGTGGGGAGGAAAGGAGAGCCATGGAGTGCTTCTGGTTTAGGGAGGAAGGGAGGTGGAAAAGGTGAGCATGGCTGATGCGCAGGTAGCAGAAGCAGGGAGATGAAAATGGAGAGAGAAGTCGGGGATGACACACAGCAGGCAGGGAGGGGACAGCTGGGAGCAGGGAGAAGGTGGACAACAGGAAGGAGTCAGAACTGCCAGCCCCAGCTCACGCTTGTAGTGGCTCCGGAAAGCCTCGTCCTTGGGTTTCTTGGGGTAGAGGTTTTTGAGCTGAGCGAGGTCCCGGATTCGGTCACCAAGTGAGCGAATGGACAGGTCTTTGGCAGAGAATGGCTGGATGTTCTCTATCTGTGGGGAGCCTACAATAGGAATGAGACCTTGAGTCCCCTCTGTCCAGACTTTATTCCCCTTCCCCAACCTCCTCCCACTATTGGACTCATTCTCAGTCTGCCAAGGTGAGGAGGAGAGAGGAGCTAGGGTGAGGGCCCTGCGGGAGGGAGACGCACCAGGCTCCATTCCCACAGAGCTCACAGTGAGAAGGTAGACGTTTAGACCACAGAAGGAGAAAGAGAAGTTGGACCTAAGGAAGAACTTCTTGAAGATCAGGGTTGGCCTCAAGGAAGGCCAGGATGTTTCCTCCCCAGAAGAAACCCCAGAGGGTACAGGCACAGAGGCAGAGGACTGGTTGGGGTGACCTCACCATCCTGGCCCCGGATGACATGGGCAATGGTGATGCCCCCAATCTCTGAGTCACTGAACCGAAGGAGGAATGTTCCATCAGGCTCGTTGAGAAGAAGGCTAGTGACATACTGTTTGCTGATGAAGCCAATGATCAACCTGGCCAGAATGAGAGAGAGGATATGGGTGGGGTCGCAGGGTGTGGAGTGGGAGCTGGAGGTACAGCTGCTCAGGCCACCTGGGGCGGGTACTCACCGATCTGACCAGTAGCTCCGGAGGCAGCGTTTGGTGAGGTCCAGGACGCCATCAAACCACTGCCAAAAGGTGAAGCCACGACCCAGCAGGATCTCCTGTGGGGAGCGGGGAGTTGGTGGGAGCACAGGAGCCTAGTTAGGGCAGGCATTGGGCTGTGAGTACCTACACGACAGAGTCACAGGACTGAGGGAACCACGTTGGACCTGAGACCCCATCCATGACAATGGCCAACACTCAGGCTCACCATGTGCCAGGCACTATTCCATGCTCTTTTCATAAATTAATGTATCTGATCTTTACAAGCCTAGGGAGATAGGTCCTGTGAGTATCCCATCTTACAGATGAAGAAATGGAAGCCTAGAAAGGTCAAATAACTTGCTTCTCACACAGCTGGTGAGAAGCAGAGCTGGGATTCAGCCCAGGAAGTCTGGGCTGGGCCCCCTCTTAACCACCGTGCTCACACCCTCCTGAATGAGGCCTGGAGGAAGTGGTGTCCAGAGAAGGCAGCTTGCAGGGTGTGAGTGTCCTGCTCCCTTTGCTAACACATCCTCTGGTCGTGTGGGCTTTTCTTTCTTCCTTTTTTAAAAAAGAGATCAGTGCGTGACTGCATTTACCCAGCTGGTCCTCAACCGAGACACCCAGACCTCCTTTTTCCCCTGTTCTTGTAACAGATCCAGTCCTGAGCCACCTTATTTTGGAGGCAGTAAAATGTAGTAGCTAAGAACAAGAGTCAGAAATATGGTGTTCCATCCCAGACATGCCACTCACTTGCTGGGAGGCCTTGGACATACCACTTAATCCCTCTGAGCGGGTTCATCCTCTGTAAAATGGGGGTAATAGTACCTACCTCAAAGGGATGTTGGGATGATAACATATATAAACTGCTGAAGCACAGTGCCTGGCATATAGTAAGCTGTCAGCACGTGGTAGCTGGTATTATTGCATATGTCCCTGTGGGATTTCGTCCCTGTTTTTGCAATAAGACCTATTTTCCCAATGGGTCAAAGTCATTTTGAACCAAAGCTGTGTTTACACACAATCTGGGTGAGTCACGAAGATCACTGGCAAAGAGGGAGGACAGAGGGCCCCCAGACCAAAACGGGGGGGATGTCAGAGACCTGAGGGGTTTTCCTGCCTGGGCCATGACAGAGGCCTTCCTGATGAACGTGGTGGGGCATTGTGAAGATCCCAGCGGTTGATCCCTGGGCAGAGGTTGGGGAAGCCTTGAGTGCCCCAGGGATGAAGAGCTTGGGGGTGGGAAGTCCGAAGCGCAGGGGAATGACCTTGTTGAACTGTGACCAGGACACAGAACGGCGCTGGAAGGCCTCCATGCTGAGGCTGTTGTCAGTGAAGATCTTCTGGGCCAGGAAGAGGAAGTGCTCTGGGAGTAACCCCCGGTTGGTCCCCACCTCAGCCATGAACTTGAGGTTAAGAGTTTCACACATCTTCTCCCAGGGCACCCGCTCAGCCACCACAAAGGGCACACGGTCCTGGGGGGAGGAGAGAAGGAAAGGGAGCCTCAGGGAGCCTGAGGCTCAAGGCTCAAGGGAGCCTTCATCTTTCCCACTTCCCCAAGCCTGCCGCTCCCCAGCCTTGTCCCCCTGAACTTGCTCAACAAAGATGGTGCTTTTCCAAAGGAGTCTAAGGTGCTACTGCAGGATAGCTGTTAAGATTGGCATGAAAAGGGGACTTCTCTGGTGGTGTAGTGGTTAAGAATCCGCCTGCCAATGCAGGGGACACGGGTTCGAACTCTGCTCCGGGAAGATCCCACATGCTGCAGAGCAGCTAAGCCCGTGCGCCACAACTACTGAGCCTGCAAGCCACAACTACTGAGCCCACGTGCCACAACTACTGAAGCCCATGCGCCTACAGCCCATATTCTGCAACAGAGAAGCCACTGCAATGAGAAGTCCACGCACTGCAACGAGAGTAGCCCCCGCTCGCCGCAACTAGAGAAAAGCCTGCACGCAGCAGTGAAGACCCAAGGCAGCCAAAAAATAAATAAGTAAATAAATTAATAAAATAAAAAATGAAGTATGAAAAAAATTGGCACGAAAAGAGGTCAGAAGTACGAAAACAGGTCTATGAGAAGGAGTTAAGGTCACTCTCATTTGAACATGCTTGCCAGCCTGCACCCCACCTCCCAGGTAAGAGCCCCCCCTGCCCCCGCCAACTCCAGGTCTTTCATCACCATCTCAGAGAAGGCGTTGTCCCACAGAATGGTGGCTTTGGCATTGTTGTCTTGGTTGCCGTGGACGATGACCACCAAGGGCAGAGACAGGGCCTGAAGGGGGTGAGGAAAGGGGGTTCTTCTTACTGGGGCAAGGGGCTTCCACAGAGGGCTGGCTCTGAGGGTGCAGGGAAGCTACTGGACTCACACAACATGGTTAAAAACTCATGGTATGTTATTGAGTGCTTTCTGAAGCTCAATTAGGGCCTTACTGCAGAGAAGTGGTTACAAGTCAGTGCTATAGGAGTCCCCAGGTTTCAAATGCCAGCTCCAACATTCAGTGGCTGTGTGACCTGGGCTAATTACTCAATCTCTCTGTGTCTCAATGTCCTCATCTATAAAATGAGGCTAGTAATAATACATACCTCATAATGTTATTGTGAAAACCACGCGTGTGTGTGCACGTGTGTGACTTAAAACAGTGCCCTGGTCTATGAAAAGTGCGTAAGTGCCAGTTGCTCCTACACTGTCATTGCCTGGGCTGTGCACTTCGGTTCTGGCTCCTCCCCACTCACCCGGGGCCCCAGCATGCACAAATCCCAAACACACAGGGTATGGGGCAGTCGTGAAGAGTGCGGATGCAGGGCCCCAGTGTGTGGCCTGGAGGGGCACCTGGGGCCCCGCCTCGGGCAGGGCTGGGGCCTCGGTTCACCTGGAGCTGGATAGGGAGTTTGTTGGGGCTGAGCGTGAAGCTGGTAGAAAAGAGCACGGCGCACTTCTCCTCGGTGACGGACTCTGTGCCCTTCCGTTCGCACCGCTTGATTTTCTTCAGAAGCTGCGGTTGGGGCAAGGGAGAGGAGGGTGAGGGCAGCAACTGCTTCTCCTGGGCTCCCAACACCCTCTCCAAGGAGAATGTCCTGGCCTGAGGACCCCCGCCCACTGCTCCCCGAAGGTCTCACCAGGTTCTTGAACAGGGCAGAGCAGCAATTCCCGGGAATGCTGTTCTCCAGGGGCACGGTGTTGTTAACGATTTCCCCAGTGCTTTCTCTGCCAGGCAAGTCAGAGAGTGGCTCATCCCAACTGGGCCAGGAATGGCAGGAGCTTGAGTCCACCGGCTAATGGCCTGGACTACTGGCCCCTAATCTCCATCTCCCCACTTGAGTTCTTAAGGGAGAAGTCCCCATCTTAGCCAAATCATGATGCTCCCACCCCATTCCAGCACTGATGGGTCCCTCCCCTTCCTCTGCCTTGACTATCATACAGGGTCCCCACATCCCATGGCCCACCCTCCCTGTCATCACCCTGTTCTTCGTGGTGCCAGTCCCCCAGGCTCCTCTGGCCTCCACCACCCTCCAGCCCCTCTCCAGCCCCCGCTTACACTCCAGCCCCGGGCCCCTGGGGCATGCTCAGCTCCCTCGCCTGCTTCTCGGTTACCATGTCGGCCCTGACCATCAGAGGCTTGGCTGGGGCCGCCAGGAACCGCAGGCCCAGC